TGGCCCACCGGTCAAATCCATGTCTCTCGGATTTAGAAATCAGGATATTGGGTGGGATGGTGTCATCCCCAGCCTGTGCCAGGACCGGGGGCTGCCCCCACCCCGCAGCAGGACCCTGCGCTTGGCCCGGCTCAGCCCCGTCACCTTCACATGGGGCCACCTCTCAGCCTGTCCCGGTCCCTCTGGATGCCATCGCTGGGCACATGTGAGCGCAGCGCAGCTGAGGTCTGTGCCGAAAGCAGCAAAACCTCTCCCCGCACGCAAGGTTTTGGGGGTAAATCAGGGTCTGTACAGGCTCTGCCCATGGCCGGTGGCCACCCAAACCACGGCACGACCTGGCCACGTGCCTTCCACCTCAGCTGGTGACGGCAGACCCCATGCACCCACCAAGCCTCAGTGGCAAGTGGCTGGAGACACATTCCTGGGGTGCTGGCACCACCTGGGGACATCGTGCATGCGCCTGTCCCCAGGCCTGGGCACCGCAAGGCGCAGGTCGGTGCCCTGCAGGACACGGAGGCACCAGAGGACCTGGCTGTTTCCAGTAGCTCTGCTCGTCCCAGTGCCCTCCCAGCAGAGCAGCAAAGCATTCCCAGGACAACACAGCCAGCCACATGTCCTGCTGGGGAGAGGACACCCGTGCAAAGCCGGAGGAGCAGCTTGGGAGCAGGACCAGCTTACCGATGAACATGGGCGCAGCCGCCCGGATGTCCACCCAGTTGCTCTTGAAGTAGAACAGGTTGGTTGAGATGAGGCGGTTAAGCATCTCCGGGTAGCTCTGCATCTAGGAGAGAAAGAGCCGCCGAGGAAGTCAGGCAGGACACGAGAGGGGCTGCCTGCAGCGCTGGCACCATCTCCTGGAAGCCTGGAGCTGCTGGGGGGTCTGAGGTCACCCCAGGAACACATCTGGACTGGGGGGGACTTGCCCTGTGCGGATGCAGGGGCAGGCCCCAGAGGACCTTATGGCCCTGCAGCCCCCACACAAGCCCCACCGGGCTGCACTGGGCCCCACGGGCAGTACCGGTGCCACCAGTGGTGGTAGCCACTCACCAGGTGTTTGCAGACGTTGTTCATGAACTCGCCGTAGTGCAGACTCCTGTCCTCCCGCAGGTGGTTGAGGAACATGTCGCAGAGCCCCTCGCAGCCCATGCTGGGGCCACACATGCGCAGAGCGAACTTGCAGGCCTGCGGCACACAGAGGGGGAGGCTGCAGCGTGCCCTCCACAGCTCGGCACCGCGCCGGGTCCCCACGCCGAGGCAGAGGAGCCCGGTCCCCATCGGCCAGCACGGGCACTGGGGCACTCACTTTGACAACCTCCGGCTTCGGGTCCTGGAGGTGCAGCAGCAGCGTCACCAGCCCGTTGAGGATCTGCTCAAAGAAGACTTCACAGTTGTCTTCGCTGAATTTGGTCAGGTTGCCAAAGAGGACGATGGACGACTGGCGGAGGTCAGGCTGCTCCTGCGGGCAGAGGGGACGAGCTGGGCTCAGTAGGAACCGACGTGTGTTGGGCATCTCCCGCCTTGGGGGACGTGCCTGGCAGAGACGTTCCACCACCCACCACCTCGCTTCCCGGGCTGGAGGACATCGGAGCGGCAAGAGACACACTGCCATCTGTCCCCAGTGCTCAGCACCTTCCCACGCCGCCCCATGCCTCAGCAATTTTTGTTTGTTTGCTTGTTGTTAAAAACAATTTTAAATGATTC